TTTCGCCAAAATAGCGAAATGCTCGCGTGAATTCGCCAAAATGGCGAAATGACTGCTGATCATAGACATTCGTATTTGGACATGCTTTGATGGTTAAAGGAGAGGATCGCATATAAATAAGAAAGAATATTATAGTATTGTATTTTACTAATATCACATGTATGGATGGATAGCTGTTTGTTTGTTTGTTTGGTATCTCCAGAACGACTATATTGATCTCGCTGAAATTTGGTATAGATATAGAACAAAGTATAGAAGAATACATAGGTTACTTATTAAGTATTTTTCTAATTCCTCGCGGACAAAGTCGCGGGCGACAACTAGTGCACAACAAATATAGAAAGTTGACAGTATATTTGTGTGACAGCCTGACCCTCGCATCTGTCACACCTCCCTGATGGAGCAGATCAAGCGCGGCGCCACGCTGCGGCGCAACAAGCATTGCAACGACCGCTCCGCGCCCAAGATACGATAACTCCGACAACACGTATGTATACAACGATGCGACGTACTTGATACTTGACACACCACATCGCACTGTACTCTATACTAAATTAACTGTTTCATACTAAGTCATCAAAACAATAAGTTGCAATGGGGAGAAAAACTGCAAGCTTACAGTCAGTTTGTACACCTTCTTGATACTTGAAGCCATCACAGATCTCTAAGTAAAGTAATTCATTACTAATATATTCATATCAATTAACAATAGGCAGGAAAATAAAAGCTTCTTGAATGTCACTATAATATTCTTGATACTTGATATCATCGCTCCTAGCAATACTTAAACCACTAAGTAATAAACTCTAGTATCAAGAATGGACTGTCATTTGTCATCAATCAGTTTTTTTATGGATGCAAGTTTAGAGATTTCAAAAATCGTATTACTTTTTTAATTTTTTTAATTATAAATTAACGATCTTAAAAAAAACTATTTTTTTGATTTTTTTAACGAAATTGGTTGAAATCGTTCCAGAGTATTTTTTTATTTAAAAATGTTTTTTTATCTGTGGTATATTTAATACCAAAGTAACTGTTGACATACTGCCTATTGTAAGGAAAGGCAGTTTTTCTCCCCATTATTTTCAATGTCACGTGCTTGTCACGTATTCCCATATATTTTGATTACGACACATAAATGTTCTTGATCCTTTATTAGTCAAATATAGTTCACTAAACGATGTTTAATTTAAACTATTTTATACATATTCTTGAGCAATTTATAATAAAATGTTTGGTCTCATACTCAATCCTTTGGCCTTTAAACGTAGAACCTCACTGCCGTGACACTTGTATAGCTATCCCTTTCATTCTCTTTGACAAAAAGAGACAATATACATCTATCGCGGCACTTGAGTTTTGTGAAATGCGATAAAATTTGTATTTTTAGTTTGCGCAAATAAGTTTTAAGAATATTTGTGTCATTAATTAGGCAATTTGTGTTACTGTAAAAGTATGAATATAAGCCGTCGGGAAATTACGATTCGAATATTCACAATTTAACGGTATCATAAAGTTCGAATATTAAAAATCTCTAATTGTACACGACTTAATCGTTTCATGTAATCTGCTGTCCCTTTCGTGTGACTATTATAAGACGAAGATAGCATTAGCCTGTAAAACTTTTGAATGTTTATAAATGTTAGAATTAGGGCTTGATAACACACACTTTGAATTCCTATAAAAAAATCTCAACATTTTTTATTAAAACATATCGTCGTCTCTTTCATTCTTTATGAAGCAAACAGAGACAACTACATATGTTACATGTCAGTTGAATACCGTAATACAAACATATCTCGAGTTTTTTTTTTCTAAAAGAATTTTGTTATAAATTATATCGAAATTTCTAGAATTTGTACGTATTACGTAACTTTACATATCTATTTTTATATTAAAAATAAATAAAAAGACTTCAAAAAGCCATTAAAATTTGCTTAAGAAACTTCGCCATTTTTAATATTAATTCTGATCGAGCTAGTATCAAGACTTGTTAGTCTCAGACTTTAGCTGTAAGATTAACACTACTGCAGGACAGATTCAAAATATTAACTTTTTAATTTTTTTTTAAATATTTGTGTATTTAAAAAAATACATTGAAATGTGTTTTTTAATAATTCTATTCTAGATCTTAAATATGTAATTTTGTATGCATTTTTACGTATTTATTTAGTACAATTTTATGTCGTATTTCTTTTAATGAAATGTTTCATAAAATAATGTTGAACAGCGCCATTTTGATTAATGTACACAAGATGGCGTCTTTCCTCTTTTTTGACAGATCGCATATGAAAATATACTAAATGTTTAGGTAGTTAAATGGATTTATTATTTATTATCCCTTTCCGTATATAAATATAGTTAAAATAAATCAATAGTTGTTCCTCTTGAATATTTTTGTAATGGCAGATGATTTGACAGCTTTGATATAGCGTTCCATTTACTGTTTAGTGTTTTTACTAGGCTTAGTGTTTTACATATCTAAATATTTATCAATATAGTAAATGTTCGCAGCTTCCGATGCAGTGTAAGGCAATCTTTAATTTTCGTGTATTTCTTTGTCGATATTTCTTATAATTGTTTAATTAAAAATATCAAATATATGGTAATATAGTTGTTGTGGTATATGTTTATGATAAAGGTTTGCATATGTAACTGTAAGTTGGTGAAAATAAATAAATATAATCTATTGAGGAGTTTTCTTATGACGTCATTATATGGTGACGTCATCATGTTTTTTCCTTAGGAAATTGATAAAAAATTGTTTTTTTTGTAGTATTTTTTCACCGGAACAGTTTTATCTTTGAATTTTGGGACACGCTGTATACATAACACATCAAAATATATTTTTTTTTACATATTTTATCTGTATGTTTGTTTGTACCGGCCAATCTCTGAAATGGCTGGACCGATTTTGACGGGACTTTTATTGGCAAGTAGATGAGGATAAGGAGTAACTTAGGCTAAGTTTATTTTAGATTTTTATTTTTATTTTAGAAAAATAAATCAATCTCCAAGTACTGTTTCGCGGACGAAATCGCGGGCGCAGTTAGGTAATATGTTAAATGAGAAACACAAATAGACATATAATTTTTATTTCTAAATTCAAAAATGTAAAACAAAACAACAATCGTATGAATCAGTCTTCTTGCAGATATTTTTAGCAATTTCGCTACGATTTTACAAAACATTACTTACGAATAAATGCTATTTTATATATTAATTATAATTACAATAATTAATATAAATAAAATGTTATATTAATTAATGATTAATTTAATTTACAACTTGTTATTTTAAAAAGCTTATTTTAATTTGGCAGCATATTTTTTGAGGAATTAAATTAGGGAACGTACACATACGACGTGAGCCGTTTAAGGGGGAGTGGAGTCTTTAAAATATTAGGGTCGGTCACAGGAGCGGTGGGGGGGAGTTGGGGCTCAGATTTTAGTCACATAGTCGTTATTTTTCATAATACATAATTCACTAGTAATTTAAGTATGCAGTCTTATGTCTTATTAAGAGTATGAGCCAAATTATTTTTTTTGCCTGTGAAATGATTAAAAATCATAATTATGAATTACTACGTAAAAACTAAAGGGGGGTCTTAGAATGTACTACGAGTGGTAACAGAGAGGAGGGAGGGGTCGAAAAAACTAAAAAATAGGTCACGTAACATGGGTATGTTCCCATATACAATTTGGCGCCATTTTTACGAATGATACATTTCAAATTACCAATAATATTCAATGCGTTTCCACTGTTTACAAGCACGTTGTCTAACCCTATAACTCTTTGATGAAATAGATGTTTGTTACATGTGGCAGTGAACACTCGATTAAGCAACAATTTTGAAACTTTGCGTCCCTGAGGCCTAATTTAGTCCTCTTTCGCTTCCCTCCCTCTTTCTTATAAGGAAAGGATGGGAAGTGGAAGCGGACTTTCCGGATGAGAGGATGCATGGGAAGGGAAAATATTTTATTTTCGTGCATCCTCTCCACCGTCGATTAAAGGTAGGCAACGTATATGTCTATGGGCAACGGTCACTTCGCTATTTCAGCGATTACAGGTGGCCGCTCGCTCGTTTGCCACCTTATAAAATAAAAAAAAAAACATTTAAATTTTGTAAATTATAATTAAAATTCCAAAAAGAATCAACTATTATTATAAATAAATATTAAAATCCTTACATTAGAGGCTATTTACAATAGCATAAGGATAACAATAAAATTACTTAATTTACCTAAAAAATATAAATACAATATTTGTGACACACATAGAATCAAACTTAAGTATTTTTAAATTGATATAAAAACGGCTAAAACCGTCAGGTATATTCATCCGGTGGCGGCACCGACTAGTTTCGAGCCCATCGGGCCCTTTATCAGGGTGAGTGGGACTGGTATTATTGCGCGGACGCGGCCCTCATCTCACTGAATTAAACTAGTAGTCGGTGGACCACCGGACGAATATACGTGAGTGTTTAGACGATTTATATAAGTTTATTATAATGTCTCACGATAGTTTGAATAATTTAAGTATTTTTGTATGGATATTGAATGGTTGTTTGTATGACATTAATAATCTTTAGGACAAGTACTGGTTGCTTAAAAATGTAGAAATTCTCCATACATTGCAATAAATTCTATGATAGTAAAAATTAAAAAGTAAAGTTAAAAATAACTTTGAGGCAGTAATTTTGTTAAATAAAAGAAAACTTGAGCGAATATTCATGTGGTTAATCCAAAACAAAACACATATAGATCATCATCAGCTCACTATACGTCCCTGCTGAGGGGCTCGGAGCCTATCCTAAGTTAGTGACTAGGACATAGTCAACCACGCTGGCCAAGTGCGGGTTGGTTGACTTCACACATATCTTCGAATTTCTTCTCAGATATGTGCAGGTTGCCCCACGATGTTTTCCTTTACCGTAAGAACATCGGATAATAGTACATATGTAAATCGGAAATGGAAAAACACATTGGTACATGGCGGGATTCGTACCTAGGACATGCAGATTCCAAGTCAAGTGCTTGACTCCTGAGCTACCGAAGATATTCCGTTTACTTAACAGTAATGAAATCTCTAAATAACAGGCGCAGGTGTATTGCATTTTACATAAATACAGTATAATCTCACTAATCCGGCACTATTAAAAAGCATTGCCGGATTATTGGAATGTTCGGATTACTGGATTATAGTGAAAAGTCATAGTACATTTTATTATTCAATTCTAGTGTCTTGTGTTTGCGTTTATTTGATATTTTAACTTAAAACTATTCTTTAAAAAAATAGTTTTGAGGTTAGACGACGACGACGCTTTAGTCGACGCAGCGACTGAAGCCCACACTTATAGAGGGTGCGAGGGAGGTGTGGTGCCGGATTATTGAACGTGCCGATCGAAGTGCCGGATTATTGAGATTATACTGTAGCTATGGTCTAATAATAGTTAACTTACGCTTAATTGGGTTAACGAGATACAATTGTGTATCATTTCACGTAAAATTCGTTTAACCTTCTTATATTTAGTAATAAATCTTTGGCACAGAGACTAGAATAATGACATAAAATAATTATATTTTCAGTTATCGATGGTCCTCAATTAGTTAAAATGAATGTTTCAGTTTAGTTACCTATGATGTGGTGTTCTACAGATTTCTGGAAAAGAAAATTTTAAATTTTAGTATACATGTCTTATAGTAATCGATTAATTTATAATATTATTTTAATTAAGCATTTCTAAAGTCTTAGATTTTTAAAAGAAACTAATCTTACTAATATTAATGAGAAAAATTAAGAATAAGAATAAATTTATTTCACAAAAACACGTTAGAATAATATACATTGAAGTATGTTGCAGACCCCGAACTAGGCTGAGTCTGTATCTCGGGGCCTAGGAGTGCACTAACCATGAACAAAATAGCAGAATAATTAGATGGATGTATGTTAGAAGGTATCTCCAGAACAGCTTAACGTATCTCGCTGAAATTTGTCATAAATGTAGAACGTAGTCTAGAACACATAGGTTACTAATTAAGTTTTTTTTTAACCGTCGGCTAGTATACAGGATGTCGCAAAAGGTTACGAACATAGTTAGGGGGATGATAGGGATGGTCACAAGGGTCACCAGAAAAATTAAATAAAAATTCCCCTCTGGGTATTAAAAAAAATAAAGGGCATTTTTTAAAAACTTAAAAATGTTACACCTTCTGGGGCAATTTTGTAACCAATGACCTACAAATATTGCGACATTTAAAAAAAGCTATTATGTCATCGTCAATAACCCTTTATCAATATGAAATAAAAAAAAACAATACAACTAACAAAGATTTTAAAGAAAATTAAAATTGCCCCAGGTGTAAAATTTTTAAGTTTCAAAAAATTCCATTTATTTTTTTTAATACCCAGAGGGGAATCCCCTATCATCCCCCTTCCTATGTACGTAACCTTTTGGGACAACCTATATACTAATTTTAAATTAAATTAAGTCAAGAAAAAGGTTATAAGTATCTATTTAAAAGAAAGAATGTACTAGAAAGAAATCTTTAACAATATCTGCTTTTAGATATAGGTTGTAATGTAACTAAAATAAATTGTATAAACTTACTTCTCGGCATACTCTTCATAGTAGATTTCGATATACTGTCGCTGTCTTCTGATTCTGAACACAATTGAAAACTTGTTTCTGTAAATAAATTCAATATTATAATAATATTACTAGTAATTAATTACAAACAGACAAGCTATGAATTGGCAGCTGATTTGTCGGTGCAGGTAATCATCATCATCAGCTCACTATACGTCTCCACTGAGGGGCTCGAAGCCTACCCTAAGTTAGTGACTAGGCCATAGTCAACGCTGGCCCGGTACGGGTTGACTTCACACAAATCTGAATTTCTTCACGATGTTTTCTTCACCGTAAGAACCTTGGATAAATGTAATAACATATATGCTGACCGTAAATCGATAAAATCTTTGGTACATTCCGGGAGTCGAACCCCGGATTTGCAGATTACAAGTTAAATGCTTAACCCTTGAGTCACCGACGCTCCGACGTGGGTCCTAGCTGATAGTTATCTTAGTTTTCTCAAAGACAATAAGAGAAATTACAAAATGTTTTATTACGAGTGTTTCGATAGTGAAAACACGCTGTATACAAACCAGTATCGTATCGCAGCTTGTTCTGTCTGCACGGCAGGTCCTGATTCTCCACGTGACCGAATGTCCGGAAGCCGACCGCGAACTGCGCGTACGGACTTATCTCGTACAACTCTAAACAAATAAAACATTAGTAAATCATAAAAAAACTGATACGTCTGTCTTTAATTGACATATGTGAAGCGGGTAAGGAAAGGGGAGGGACGTACTGAAAGAGGATATTTCTCCTTCCCAAATATCCCCTGTCAAGTCTGGTTAAAATGTTACATTTGACGCCTGTCTTCTGTGTAGTCGTGGTATCGCAACGAGCGAGTCGAACAGTTAATGCTACGGATTAATACAGTTATAAAATAATTGATTATCCATACATGTTACTAACCGTGTTTACTATTATTCCTCATATGTATGGGTGCGCTGTATATCCTGGCGGGCGGCTCCTTGCCGGCGAGGTTGCTGTGTGACGTGTTAGCTGTGACGTCACCGCTGCCGGACTTGTCCGCTGTTATTGAATTGCGGTACTCGGTCAGGTTGCCCGCTCTGAATACACAGAGGGAATCATTCATCATTAGGGGCATTAAAGGGATTGAGTGGAGCAGTCATCTAGCTATCTAGAGGTTTCAATTTTAGATTCAATGTTCGACCAGATCATAACCTATAACCATTAATCCTGTTTCCAAGTAATAAGTTTCATTTGCCACTAGTGTTGGCTTTTTTTTAAATATAAGCAGATTTTTTCTTAATCTTACTAATATTATAAATGCGAATGTTTAGATGGATGAATGAATGGATGGATGTATGTTTGAAGGTATCTCCAAAACGGCTGGACTGATCTCCATGAAATTTGGCACACATATAGAACACAGTTTGGAAGAACACACGGGCGACTGATTGTTTACTAATATTTATTGTACCACTCCAATTAAGCCTCTATGCTTGTTGGACATGGTTTACGACAATAGTTGATTAGCGGGATTCGAACCCCAGACCACAAGAACGGAAGTCCTTACTCTTAACCGTTAGTCTAGCCATGTTTGTAGGAAAAAGTATATAATACTAACCTTTGTCTCTTCACCAATATATAAACACAACTGACAAGACAGAGCGCCAGCAATATGGAGCTGCAGACTATGACTAACATATTTATATCAAAGAATTCTGAAGGTGGTCCCACTTCACCTGGAATAAAGATAAAGTGTATGAAAATAATTAAATAAAGGAAAAATAACGGAGGATTCCTCTTATAAATAGGAGATGCTATCCACCGTAGTGATACACGCTTTTAGACGACACAAATGTTTCACAAACCAGACGTGTACTTTTTCTTTAGAAACTAACGTTCAGAAAAATGAAAACGATAAATTCTAATTTCTTTTCTGTTAATCTAATTTATTCTTATCGGAAAAAATAGATTAAGTATTTCATTTGTTCCTTTTAACTATGGCACTATACATTTTCAAGTGTGTAAACACGAAATTTGAAGTTGACCAAAATTTTTTGTCTAAAACAACTTACTGCCATCTTCATTCTTAGTAGCGAAGTTGTACGTGGTAGTAACACTGCCTGCCTCGTTTGTGGCGGTGACGCGGACCTGGTACCAGGTACCGGGCGACAGGTCGCTGATCGCAAACGAGCCGGTGCGGTAACTCGGGCTGTTGGACTGGTATACACTCCACGAGGGGTTTGTATATGTCTAAAAAAAAGACGAGAAATGTAAATATATGAAAATGGAATATGTTTTCATTCCCAAAGAAATATTTGTCAATGCTGCAATTTAGAAATATTTTCTGCTAATTTTGAATCTTTGATAAGTATCCAAATATATCCTACAACACAATTTTACAATGTCTTTTATAACTGAGGAGTCCTTATGATTCAAATCGAGAAAGGTATAATTCAATTTTAATAATTTTGAATTTTATTTACCAGTGTATTATGAGCCCTTATCCAATTCCTGGCGCCGAGCGCGCGGTACTCGAGGTCCCAGGAGCGCAGCTCGCAGCCGGCGTCGTCCCACCCCGCCAGCTGCACGAACATGTGCGAGCAGTTGCTCCACAACCACTCGTTCGTTGACGGTGGAATCGGCGCTGGAAGGGTTAAGTATAGGTAGCTAGTGGTAAAATTAACTTATATAGTTGGACCTGGGATGGCTTGTAGCATGATGGACCGATGACCTGGTCAAGAAGCACCAGACCGATCTTTGTGCCGATCTTTCAGAGAGGATTATTTCCAGCAGTTGGCGTCACGTGACTAAGATGTAGGACCAAGCGCTTGAAGAATTATTGTACTTAGCCATTTATTTCAATGTTCTAGTATCTGGTAAATTTTAGTTTAATTTTCGTATGAATTATGACTCACCTCCACCTAATGTACTGACATCGATGTATGCAGGTTGTGAAGTTCCAACTTTGTTAGTCGCGGTGATTCTAAGCGAATATTTTGTACCACATTTGAGGCCTGTAAGAGCGTATTTCTGAACTCCAGATAAATTAGGGAGTTTATTTGCCGGCCATGCTTCCTGCCACGGACCGCTGGCTTCTTTCCAAGTTAAACTGTAACCTGAAAATACGACAATGGCGATGTTAAGAAGATTTCATTTTCAGTAATTTTCATCTCCCTAAAGAATGCAATGAGGACTATTTGGAAGTCTTCAGCTAATAGTCAGATTACTTACTGATTTTCTGACTGTGACTCCTATTTCCTAGTGAGTAGTAAGGCTGTTCCCAGTCAACTAGTATAGAGTCTTTGTAGGGCGTGGCTCGGAGTACTGGCGCGTCCGGTAGAGGCAGCACAGTCACCACGTACTCCACGGAGTCTGAACCGTACAGGTTCTTAGCGAGGCAAGTGTAGTTGCCGCCGAGAGACTGGTCGATGTCTGGAAACGTAAACGTAAATAGCCATCAACCTCAAAATACAATGAAGCACTAATTGGTGCATTCAAGACGGTAAGTGATCTAGAAATCTGTATTCTTTCTGTTTCTCCTAGGAACCAAATAATGAGTCTAAGTTGAAGAGTAACATGTACCTGGTGCATTTTGTTTTTTGGCAGTGGGTTGTGCATACATTGTATTTTATTAATATGACCTTTAGTAGCTATGTGAATAAAATGATGATGATGATGATGTACAATGATGGAACCAGAGCCAACCTTTTTACGTATTAGAACTTAATTAATAGTATTTCTAAAACTAAGAGAAAATACATGAAGTATAAACTCACTGTTAATGAGCAGACTGTCGTCATGGTTCCGTGTGAAGCGCGGGTGATGTGTGATGATGTTGTGGTTGTGATACCACACAGTGCGCGGCGGCGGAGACCCCACGCAGGCGCAGGCCAACAACAATGAACTGCCCACACCCACTGACACCACGCCGCCTAGCGACGCTACGCCCGCTACGACTGTGAAATTAAGGTCAATCAGAATTCTAATTTAGGAATTTTATAAAGAGTAGACTGTTAAATGTAAATAAAAGTGGGGAATGGTTGTCAAAGAAATACGACATATTCTATACTTTTAGAAGAGACATCTATTTTTGATTGGAAAGAAAAACTAGTGCAAATTGTTTTTTTTTACGGAATGGGATCGAGACTTTTGGGTATAGCAATCCTGACCTAATTAAAGGAAGTATTAGATAAACTTAACATTTGAGCTGGGCTGGTGGCTATACTGTTGTAGTTAGAACTATTAAATGGTGGACAATTCCGATGATGCTCAAGACATACCTCTTTGTGATGGCGTATGTGACACGCGTCTGGTGGGCGGGCCCTCGCCAGCGCCGGTGCTGGCCGTCAGCCAGGTCTCGTATGTCCGGCCTGTGGTCAGCTCCTTCAGCTCTGCCACCGTGCGCCCCTCGGCCTCCACGCGGTGTGTCTGTGCTGGACCATTGCTGGCACATAGATAAATTCATTGTATTTGAAATACCTTTACATTCTTTAGTATCTGTTTATTCCCTTAAACTCTTCCGTACATCCGTTTTGCTCAAAGAACATCTTTGCATATGACTTTCTGGCTACATAACCACATTACAAGTATATTACATTGAAATCCCTTTTTAATTTTAAAGGTGAAGAACATTTTTGGAATATCCTAGGGATGATGTTTTTCCAGTAGAGGAAATAATAATTTTAATTGACTATAATTTAGGTTTCTTATTTCATTTACCTTGAGGTTGGCTTGACGTAGACAGTGTAGTAGAGTAATTCTCCATTTGGATGCTCAGGCCGCTTCCAGCTCACGAGTAGAGAGGTTGGTGATAGCACTAAGGCTTTGATATCGGCTGGTGGATCGGGAACTGTTAAATATGAATTGATTAGATGACGCCAACATTGCTCCTTCGAGCAGTAGTACTTAAAGAAGAAGAAGGATTTAGAAGAAGGCAGACGATATATGAAGATACTATTTTAAATATCCCTTACACAATAGACTATTTACAGAATGAAATCTTACTACATGCGAAAGTTTAAATGGATGTTTGTAAGAAGGTATCTGCGGAACGGCTCAACCGTTCTTGATGAAATATGGCACAGACGTAGAAAATAGCCTGGAAGAACGAATAGGCTACGTTTTAAGTTTTTTTTTAATTTCGCGCGAATTAAGACGCGGGCAAAGATACTATCATACTGAAATTTGAAACAAGATTTCTATCACTTACCATCTTGCAAAGTGGCACATACGATTGGATACGAGAACGGCCCTGGCCCGTAGTTTGAGTAGCCGGCCACTTTAACCGTGTAGTTAGTGTACTTCATGAGAGCTTGCAGGTACAGCTCCGTGTGGAGTGAGGTTTGGTTCTGCCAAGCACTGTCTGGAAATAAAATTGGCAATTTTTTAAATTCAATATCAGTAGACTTTTAAACTTCTTTTAAAGGCTACCTGGGCATTAGCAATCTTCTGTTATTTAGCTTACTTAACTAATGGGGATGAACTGTTTTTTTTTGTGATACACATGTTTAATCAACAAGATAAAGATTGCCTTTGTATTTTGTATATTGCGAAAATATATTATAGTTAGGTAAATTAAATTGTGCTATTACTATACATTATTCTGTAGCAATGATTGTAAATTGTTTAGGATGAACCTTTAGTATTATCAATCTTTTCAGCATCTTTGTAAGTTTTATTACTCTGTGAGAAGCTGGTCATCTATCTCCTGTCTTACCATCAGTAGCATATAGTACGGTGTATCCGATGAGGGAGCTGCCCTGGGCGCCCGGTGTGATGGGCTGCCAGCCAACGCGCAAAGAGGTTGAAGATATCGCCGTACATTCGACAGAAGTTGGTGCATGTTCTGGGGCTGTTTAAATAACAAAAATAAAATCATTGATTTTACTGAACTAGATTGCAATGACAGATGTAATTTGAAGTTTGATTTGTGTAAAATTGCCTCAGATTTTTTTTATCCTGCTCTTAAACCTACTTGATGTATTTTTATGAATACGAAAAAACAAGCTTATCTTACCGCCTTCCATAGTATCTTGGAATACTGGCAATGAAAATGGCCCAGAACCGGCGCCGTTGAACGCTGATATTGAAACTGCATATCTGAAAGTTGAAAGTAAAAGTTCCATAATTTAAAACTATTACAAGGGATTATTTAATTAAATTTTGGATTGTCTGATGTAGGATAATTTTATTATTATTTAATTCTACCTCGTATTTTTCAATAGACCACTTATTTTCGTTTCCTGTTTTCCAGATTTCTGTGAAACTTTCAAAGTTCTGGTATCGCTGTCCTCCGAATCTGAAATATTGAAATTTTCTTACAATTTACAAACATATCATAAAAATGTTGTTTCAATTATCTACAGTCGAATGGATGCTTTCCAAAGAAACACCAAGGATTTCAAACTAAATGATTCACGAAAACCACTTTTTTGTTGTGATGACAAAACGCAAGCAATTTTGATGAATTTATTTTTCAATATGACTATGGCCTAGTTACCCCTATCTTAGGGTAGGCTTTGAGACTATCGGTGAGGTCGTATAGTGAGCTAATAATGATGATGATGATATTTTTCAATAGCTACAACATATTTCGTCTTGCTGAACCTGTTTTTGTTTCAATTCTATAACTCTTACAGCTTTAAGATATTTCGATAGTATTACTTACTCGTAGGTACATTTTGCGGTACCGCTTTCACGTGGTATCCAGTAATGATGCCGTTATGGGACTCCTTTGGTGGAGGCAGCCATGATACAAACAGTTCTCCAGGAGAATCCGTCTGCTCTACAACTATGTTGATAGGCGGCGATGAAGGTGCTAGAAAAGAGAAAGTTCCACAACTTATTACTGATGACCAATTCAGACCAATCAAGAACGTTCAATTAAAAAAGCATCGAAAGTTGAAAAAAGAAAAAACAATGAAACAACGATACAAACATATCAGTACAAAATTTTCCACCCTTTTCTCTTGTTTTATAAAAAATTGTACGATAAGTTAGATGTCGTAACATCTTAGTAAAAACGATAGTTCTTTTGTGTAATATGACTTCAATTTATAAATAACTCTGTCTTCTTTATAGTGTTGATTAATCTTACTTCTGACTAATAATATTAATGCGAATGTTTGGATGGATGGACTATGTTATAAGCTGTCTCCAGAACGACTACATGGATCTTGATGAATTTTGGCATAGAAATAGAACATATAGGCTACTAAATTAAGTATTTTTAAATCCCGCTCTGACGGAGTCATGGGCGACAGCTAGTTTCTACATAAGTCTCTCTGCTTTATAGTGTTGAAGTCATGGGATTACTTTTAAAGTATTTATTTTTATAATGTAATGAGAGAGAGTTACCTTCCTCATGCGTGGTGAAGTGCACGGGTGCGGTATACCGGCTGACGCCGACCTGGTTACCTGTGGCCACGCGGATCACGTATGCGGTTGCTGGACGCAGGTTCTGTAACTCCGCTGATTGTCGCATGTCATTGTCTTTTCTGGAATGCAATACACACAATCAGTCATAGGGCTGATGATTTTTAACAGATAATTTAAAATTTAAGGCTAAAAGTAATGTTGCTTAGCGGTGATTAATATCAAACGAAAATTACCTAGTAATATTAATAACAACAGCATGTTCCCATCCAATATCGACGACATGAGCTGGAGCGTACTGCAGAGCGTAGCGCGACGCGTGCGCACGCACCGACCTCCATGAGGCGACTGCTGAGCGCGAGTGCACTGAATCTACCCTCAGATCTGATGGCGGAGTCGGGGGCTCTGGAAATTACATGTAGATTTAAAAAGAATGATAGAATCCGCAGCAGCAAGACCTGCTGAACATAGCTCATATACTGGTGCAGAAGACAATATAGGAGAGACATGTCAAGCTAAAGTATTTCATTAGTAAAGAATAGCTTACCTAATATATTTAGGAACACATTAAATGTAGCAGTTCCGTATGGATTGTTGGCTCTGCATTGGTATAGACCCGCATCTCCCGTCTCCGAATACTGGATGTTAATTGTACTCGTCAGGCCTAGCGTTGTCTTTGACTCGGAAAGTTTTGCTCTGGAATCAAATGAAGCAACTAGATACGTTAATACTACAAAAGAAAGAGGAACATATCGTGACCTAAGAGCTGACTTATATTGAAGGAAAACATCATGATGTAATCTGTATAGTAGAATGGTGGGGATCGACGGGATCGGAGTGTAGAGCCAGATTTGACAACGACTAGGAGCCTACAATATTATGTTATAGTTGAATAAGTTTCTGATTTTAGTCAAGTCTCTCAGTTTTTAGTCATTTTTCTATCTTACTAGGAAATTCTTTCAACGGATGCTTGGTGGATCCTTACACTTGTTGCTTTATACTTGCATTGCATAACTCTTCTATTAGTATGTCTAAGTAAATAAATTGCTAAGAATCATATTTAAGATAATAAGATGTATGTGAACCTGTGTATTTGAAAATCCAGTATATTTCCATTATGTGTCCATAATATCCTTATAGGATCATCACCCAGTGCTTTGCATTCTAATGTAACTGGGTGTCCCAGTCGTGAAGTCACATTTGTTGATGTCGTCTCGAAATGTACCGGCTCTGGAAGTAAGTAAGGAAGTATTTTTATTTATAAGACTTTAGCACCATCTCTTTTACTTTTTAAATAAATTCTAGCTTGATATCTTGACACGGTCCTGAGAAAACAGGTCTTGAGATACTGACGGACGGACAGCAAACTAATACTATAAGGGTACCGTTTTTGAAGAAGGAGAACTAAACACAATTTAGTTTCCACAAAATATACTTACTATTAACACTCATCCAAATAGTTTTACTAAGGGGACTACCGACTCCATTCTCAACGTTGCAGGAGTACAAACCCTCGTCGGTCAGAGACACCTCTTCTATGATTAGAGTGCCATTGGGTAGACTCAGAATGCCACCACCAGCTAGTTCTAGTACTGGCTGCCATGTGCCCAGAAGTGCTGAAATAATTTTACACTTTTAAAAGCAGAGATTCCCATACTTTATACGTCGACTTTGGTGATGTGTATCATCATACAGCATTCGTTCTTCTCGTGAAACTTTAAATATGTCTACAATTTTACAGTCTTGTTGGAGTCTACGATCGTTTTTTAACCCATCGAGATTATTCAATATAGTGTTCAATTGAACATGGATTTCGTTGTTGCAAATATTTTCAATGCACTTTGTACTTTACCATCTTTCTTCATCCAATGCACTTGAGGTTGTGGATATCCGTTAGCACTACACGACACGGTGCCTCTTCTGCCCAACAAAAGTGAGGAATTTGATGGCTCTTCCGCCCATTTGGGGGCAACTAAAAATAGAAAGAAGATCACGTCAGTGCATAATAGAACAAAGGCTCCTAATTGTGGCTACGTGATTGATGAAATATAGTACATGGTCTCCAATATAATAAGAATTATTGGTAACTCTGTATAACTGTATTTCTGACGAAGTTTTTAAAATATATTTGAAAACAAAGTGTAGGTTAAGACCATTAGGAGGGAACTAATAAATGGTAATTTGTAACTCATAACTAAACTAGCTGTCGCCCGCGAATGTCCGCGCAGAATTAAAAACAAACTTAATAAGATTCCTTTCCTACAGACTATGTTCTACATCTATGCTAGATTACAGCTGGATCCATGCAACTGTTTCGGAGAGACCTTCAAACAAACATACCTTTTATATACAGTTCAGTGGACCTGTTGACTTTAGCGACGTGATTGGACGCTACACAAGTGTATGTCCCGCAATGCTCCAACGACACTTTCTTAATCACCAGCGCACTAAATAACTCTGAACTTCGTTCAACTACCTGTGAAAAATTAGGACATACTTTCATTATCGAGTGGAAAGTTACTAGACTACTATGAGAAATTTCTGACTTTTATTATCATGTTCTATGTTATCCTCTCATAAATTTTAAGTCTCGTAGATTTTATTGCATGAACTAGAAATAAAGATAACTCTACTGTATAGCTTGCCACCATAATGCGACAAACTGTAAAAAAATTCCATTTGATGGGTTCAAGACTAGTATTTAGTCCGTATTATGGCCCTGTTCCCTAAAAGTTGCTGGTATTTGCAGCGAGAACAGAAAGTATAGACTCCTCCTAAGCATTAATTATTTACGGCTATTCATATACAACTTTACCGTTTACCAAAAATAAATCTATTTCTTCTCTCGATTTTCTAACGAGACTTCTATTCAATTTACCGTGGATTTCTGACACCAAAATCCGTATTTAAAACATATTGTTATCTCTGTTATTTCAAAGATGACGATATTGACGATATGTTTTATACAGATGTTTTGGTCTTAGAAACCCACGCCTGGTGTAACTATCATTCCTAAAAGAGCTATCTAGGCGTTAGAGGGTGGCGGTTATGTTCCGAACGGTGATCCCGTCTGCCCCCTTGTTAGCGCCGGTGGCAACCGCCGTGGGGCTTTAGTCGGTGTAAGCCCGACATAACCTTCTTTGTCCCGCAAGGATGGTATGCGAAAGGCATATCCCCACGTTAAAAAAAGGGTAACTATCATTATTGTCTTACTTACCTTTAAACTACTAGATATCCTTTTCCCATCTTTCAGCCATTCGAAGTGTATTGGAAGATCTCCACTCCTAACATTGCAATATATATTCACAATCTGTCCTTCCTGTAGATTATTGCCTAAGAGTAAATCTTCTAATATAGGTGCTTCTATCACTTGTATCTCGAATGCTCTTCTTGCCATTTCACCAGATGGACTGGTTACTATGCAAGTATATACAGCTCCATTCTGTTCTTTACTGACTTCTGGTATTGTTAGAACACCGTGTATATTAACAACGTTACGTCTGCTTTTATGTTTCTTTGTAGTACGTTTGTATCTCGTTTGAAATAGATTATTCGAATTTATAATTTTTCCTTTGAAATCCCAATCTATCTTACTGGAAATAAAATTACTTATTATAATTACTACTTTAAGCATACAGCTACGATAGTAAACAGCGGGGCTAGACAAAGTCTATTCGCTCCGTAGCGATTCCATAACGAGTTTCAAAAATGTATGGAACTGACGACGATCACGTGACTTATCGAAAGTTATTGACATTTCTATACATTTTTGAAGTTCATTGTGGAATCGCTTCGGAGCGAATGCACTTTGTCTAACCCTGCTTGAACTGTAAAGCGAAATATAGAGCGAGGCATAGAGCCCAGCTGATGAAATTGGTGCGAACCAAAATTGGAATCGCTTGGATTGTGGTTAGTTTTGCACCAATGCCTTTATGCCGTATTGTTAAATTTATTTCGTTTTTTTTCTCAGCAATATGTAACATATTTTCTTTTTTATAAAAACCATTTGTTACCTTATAGGGTAGCCGTAGAATGGACATCTCAAATTAACCGCTTCGCCGCTTTGAACTTTTATTGGCGGCAGGGATCTGATATACGGCGGACCTAAAAGTTATAAAACACTTTTTAGTGTTGCTTTTGTCTTTTTATCTCTTGACATAAATAGTGCCAGCTATGTAGGAATTTAAATTGATAGTTTCTTTAACCCTTTCATTCTATGATGTTTCAAATCATAGCCTAATTTGGTTGTAGCCTTTCGTTTTGATACATTTATGAAGCCATAGTTTTAGACTTAAGCTATGACATATACAGAGTCTTTGGCTCAGGACTTGAGCACTTGATTTATAATTTGCTGGTCCTGGGTTCGATCCATATTGTCAATTTAAATATGTACATTTATCCGACGTTGTTACGGTGAAGGAAAACATCGTGATGCAACCTGCATATATCTGAGAAGAAATTCAAAGATATGTATGAAGTCAACCCGCACTGAGTCAGTATTGACCATGGCTTAGTCACAGACTTAGGGTTGGCTCCGAGCTCCTCAATGGGGACGTATAGTAATGATGAATATGAATGAATATATATTTTAATAATACCATAAACATCAAGTCGATTCTCATGAGCAGCAACATTTTCTCCTTCTTTTGCAGTACAGGAATACAGTCCGCCATCTTCAACTCTAACTCGCGTGATATTAAGCTGGGTTACCACGGAGTTATCTGATGTCATTACCTGACCTAAAGCGTATCTGAAATGACAAATTTATAATTTTAAATGCAACGATAATTTTGGTTTTTTGTTAACTTTTGTTTCTAGGTAGATTGTTTTACGATAAAATGTTATAATCGAATCGAAAAGGACTCTTAAAATCTTTAAATATACAAGTTTTAGTAAGATTATTATAATTGTTAATAGTTTTAGCAATCCTTTTTTGGGGTAAAGGCTTCCTCTACCCACAAAGATCACATCCAAAGGTCTCTAGCGAACTTTTAAAAGAACGGTTGTTGTTGAGTTGAATAAGAAAGGTCAGGAAACAAGTACTGTGGGTTTATTTGTAGTATATGGGGTTTAATTTGAAATATTTTTTGTAATGTAATTATCTACCTTGGGTCAGTATTACTGGAGATAGTAACTCCATCTCTCTCCCAAGTGAACTGAGGAGGTCTGTCGCTTGATGCTGCACATTGCATGCTTATCTGAAATCATTTTGATTACAATCACAATTAATGATTACATTATATTTTGAACCATATGATATAATATAATATAATATTTGAACCATGTATATCAGAGTAAGATTCTTGGCGACTTAGAAAAGGACGGATTTTGTTTGTTAAACGAAAGCACATGGCCTAGTTGTTGACGCCTATTCCTGTGTATCGTCTTAGGTAAGGTCGTGGTAGTAGAACACTCAGTAATACTATAAGTCTAGTTAAAATTTTTCATATATCATTAAAAAGCGTTTCAGTATCTTGTCTAATTTGCATATTTTTGGTTATTACTTACATCACCACCGGGCGTGACTGTCCGTTCAGTGAAATGTTGTGTGATGATCAGTCGATTCTCGGATAAGTTTCTTCTAACTCGTTTTCTTCTATCAAGTCCTGGAAAAATTATTGAAGACAATTTTTAAATCTCAATTTAACATATAAAGTTAAAACTGATCTTGTTTATAGATTACTACCCTCGTTAAACATATAAGAGATACGGTGATGTCTATATAACTAGAATCTGTTACAACTTAAACTTCAATAAGTAGAAATAAAATATCGTTCCGCTGAATCCTTGCTGTCTCGAATAATTTAGATTTTGTATCTCGAAATAAATATTATTTAATTATACGTTTACTCGTATTTCAAAAATGAGATTTAGTAAGAAGTATAAAACTAACTGTCGCCTGCTACTTCATCTGTGCGAAATTAATAAAAAACATAGTAGCCTATGTGTTCTTCCAGATTATGCTCTATATGTATTATAAATTACATCGATATCCGTTTTCCCTTCAAAACAATATGCATCCATCCATCTAAACATTCGAATTTCTAATATTAATAAGAAGTAAGATAATGACGACTTACTTGGGATTTCTTATCAATATTATCTTTAACTTTCTGTTAAGGCGAAGAATCAATAAGTCGAAGTTTTTGTGCATTTCCCGCGACATTCGAGATGTCGTGATTCTACTGTACATTTCATAGCTTTCGGCATAGAATTAGAAATTTTCTTTTAAATTAAAAAAAATGATTTCTGTCCAAATATAATTTACGACCCGTACTATAAATTCGTTTATTGTTTAGTGATGTGTTGTCAACATCGATATCTTCTAAATAAAAAAAATGCATTTTCATATAATTAAATGAGCAATTTCTCAAAAAATTGCAAAAAGTTACAACACAGTTAAATTATTTTTTTATTTTGTAAATGGGAATTAAAATGCAATATTATATTTAATTATAACATCCACCTCAATCTTACTAATATGAACAAATCTCGCTAAAAGCTGCCATAAAATAGTCTAGGAGAGCACATAGGCTACTATAATATTTTTACTATTTTTTTTAATTCCATGCAGACGGAATCTCGGGCGACTGCCAGTATAATAGTTAAACAATACATACAGATATGACGGAAGTGAACTATCGACAACAGTTATTATAATACGGACATCACTACGCCATGACAGATTCGGCCATTCCTATTACGAGGCGGCGCTGTAACGTCGCAATCTGGCAGGGAACATAATTACGAGGGTCGCAATTTGCCCAACGAATGGCCACCTCGACTTCACACCTTGTTATGTTCCGGTTAATGGAAGCAAAATTTAGATGAACAGACTTAATAGTCTGTTATTAAAGATAATTATGTTATTAATTTGTGATGTTATGTGATTTTTTGAGCTAAATTACTTCTGTTTCCATCTTCACGATACAAAAAAATCGACCAATTAAATTAATTATCACATCTTACTAATATAATAAATGCGAATGTTTAGTTGAATTGATGTTGGAAAGTATCTCCAGCACAGCTGTATGGATCTCGCTGAAATTTAGCACAGATGTAGAACAGACTGTAAGGATACATGCATATAAATTAAGTTTTTGTTTACTCCTTGCGGACGAAGTCGCAGGTGACAGTAGTTAATTATAATAATAGTCTAGAAGAATCTTTGAAGATATAGTATTATGTTTGGTCATATTTTATAGATGTGCAGGTATAAAAAGTACCGTAAAATTGTGTCTAAATATAGCGCGTAGATTCAGAGAATTTGTTGATGTTCCTGTACAGTCTGATTGATGTGGATTTCAAATTTCAGGAGACACACAAACAAACGCGTAGTTCATTAGTTGAGCTCGACGTTGCGATGGAAAACCGAAATTCGATTAAACGAACGAGATGAAACGAGACAGTGAAAACTCTACTGAATTAACCTAAGCCGATTTTATACTTCGATTCTCAGTTAGACATAGATTGTATATTACAAATTAAGATAAACAAGATACGTTACTTTGCCGTAATACTTTTTTTTCTAATTTTCTTCACAACAAAACTGTGTATTTAACTTTGGTGTAGAAACAATAGCAAAGCTACATATATCTACATCGATTTCGAGAGAATTGTAATTACATACAACTTTCATCCCTCCTTTCAACCATTTACAACCCTATTTTTGCATTGAAAAGTAGCCTATATCCTTCCTTGGACTCTAAACTATAAGTGTACCGAATTTCATTCAAATCGGGTCGGTAGTAGGGACGTGCATGCGTGACAAACATAATTACTTTTGCATTTATAATATTAGTAAGTATTAAACCTCGAAACCTAAGAAAGGAAAAACTCGGAGCCTACCCTTGGTTTAGGGTAGGCTCCGAGCCCCTCGGTGGGTACGTATAGTGAGCTGATGATGAAGGATTAAAATGCATTAGTTATGTTAGCAATCTATGTTTAGACAAAATTCCTTCAAATGCACCTCTCTAATATTCGAGACGATTGTTACTTGATGCACTTCACTGTCGCATGTCATTCCACAAGCGTCAGCCGGCAAATGTGATTATGTTCTGACGTATGCAATTTGCACGGCACCTTGCTTCGGAAAGCAATTTTGAAGCTGCATTGATTTCACGAAATTACCTTGATTACATAAATAGTTTAGTAATAAAGTTAAATAAAATTTTATTATTACTAACACAATGCTCCATCCACGCGGAATTAAAAAATAACCTAGTAACCTATGTGTTCCTACAGACTATGATATATATTTATGCCTAATTTTACCGTGATCCCGTTCCGGGGATACCATTAAACAAACATCCATCCATCCAAACATTCGCACTTAAAATATTAAAAAGAAAGAGAATTTTTAGAAAAATATAGATCAAATCGCCGTAGCTGATTCAGCATATTTCTTTCCAGATATGTGCAGGTTGCATCACGATGTTTTCCTTCACCGTAAGTACGTTAGATAAATGTACATATGTAAATCGGAAATCAAAGAACACATTGTTACATGGCGGGATTCGAACCCAGGACCTGCAGATTGCAAGTCAAGTGCTTGACCCCTGAGCCACCGACGCTCTAGATGATTTATACTTAGGTATAAATAAACCTGACTAGCAGCCTGGAAGTTTAATTGGAACACGTCTAAGTACTGACTAACCCAGATAAGTTTTGGAGTCCAAGTTGTTAAGGTAAGTTGGACAAAGAGTATTGTAATAGTAAATGTTTTGTTATAAAGGCCTAAATTTCGTGCGGTATTCAATATTTTATAGCACAGTATTTGGTGAAAATAAATTTAATTTTGTAATTTAAATTACTTTACGGCGAAATTTTCATGGAATATTGGTATGCGCTGTACAATATTTTCCCCGAAATTTCAGCAATTATTTCTATATCTTATTAATATAATAAATTCGAAAGTTTATATGGATAGATAGATGTTTGTCTGAAGGTATCTATCGATATATATCCAGAACGGTTCAACAGATCTTGATGAAATTTGGCATAAATATAGGACATAGCGTGGAAGAATACATAGGCTATTCATAAAGTTTGTTTTAATTCCGCGGGGCCAGAGTCATAGGCGACAGCTAGTTATGTAATATTTTGGACGATTCGTCGGACTTAAATCGGATTAGTCAAATTTTGTGACGCATCACTAAACTATGCTAATTAGAGGTAAGGCCCCAACGAGCGACAATAATTAAATTTTCTGACACTATTTTAAAGCCTATTTACTCGTATATATCCACATAAATAAAAATAAATATAATTGTTTAAAATATTTAGTTTTACAAAGAAATAAATAAAAAACCGCCTTAACCTGACTTTGTTTCAAAAACTTTTAAACATTTTCTCAAGGTTACGTCAATAAACTAACAATATTAAAAAAGAAAAGACTGTATTTCTATGTTAATTAGAAAGCAAATCGAATAATACCGTAACGAACATACCCAAAAAAATACCTGCCTGACAGATTTTTAATAGAATAAAAATGACATCCACAGGTCAATGGAGCATATGATGAAAGAGGGGACATCCTATCAAACGGTGTAATTGACCAACGGTCACTTCCCCTACTACATACCACATAGAGAGATTTATAAGGATCAATAAATTGAATCAACTAATAACTGATCATAAAAATCGAACATTTAAAGATACTAAAAGGAGGATTGCCTTCGTTATTTTAGGCACTCAAACGTCTAAAAATCTTGCCGTAAAGTATGATACGAGTAGAAAAGATAGTTATAAACAAATTTTTACTACATACAAAAACATCAATTACTTTCACACATACAAATGTCATTTGTATGAAAGCTTATGCCACGATTCCAGCTCCATTCGTACAGAGTAAATAAATAATGGCAATAAATAATCTGCCGCTGACACCGACCTCGCGGAGTGGTCTCTGCTCTGCCGCCTAACGATTGAACCTCGACCTATGTTACACCGAAACGAACACATGTTATAAAAATTGTCTTTTTTTTACTAGCTGTCCGTGCGCTATAAAAAAACATAATTAGTAGTATGTGTTCTTTCAGACTATGTTCTACATGTATGGCAAATTTCATAGAGATCTGCTCAGCCACTCTGAAGATTTTCACACAAACATCCATACAAACATTCGCTGTGCTGTCCTGTTAGTTAGTACTCCAGAACGGCGTAATGGATCTTGCTAAAATCTGGCATAGATGTAGAACATGGTCCGCAACATATAGGCTACCAATAAAGTTTTTTTATACCTCGCGGACAGAATCGCGGGCGACAACTAGTTTAGTATAAAGAATAAAAATATGCAGATATTGCAAATGTCGAGATCCGTTTGTTCGTTTTACTAAAACAGTGTGACAGTCAGACTGTGCCGTATTTTATTTGGGACAGCTTTTGTTGTTTCGGTCCCGTGGCTTATGTTTGTTTTGCTTAGTACTGAGCACCCTTCCTAATGATTCATATCGTACAAGCCACTTCACTTACTCGTACAAAAAGCAGAGAAATATAAACTATAAAACAAGAGAATTAAAGAGGAAAATCGCTTGTCTATAACCAGCCTATCGTTTGTCTGCCTTCTGAGATTTCATTCAGTTGTCAAAACAAA